GATATCAATAAAATATAACAATTTTTTCCCCTCGATTTTTACTTCTTTTGTAAACAGTGGTTTGTTTTTAATTTAAACATTTCTCCAATTACAGAAGATGGAATGTGCATGGTAATGAACTTCACAAAACAATTAAAATGGGGGGGGGGGGGGTATCACTAAAACTTATTATTCTAAATAATACTCAAGAAAAAAATCAATGTCAAGTTTACTTGAATATATTCTGTTTCTTTGTGTATTAAGTATTAGTCGCGATCATTTCCTGTGTATAGGGATTAGCAGAGCAAGAGCAGGAAACGGCATTCCCTAGGGGTTTCACACCCGTCCTAGAGTACCTGTGGTAAATTTCTCTGCATGTGCAAGGCGTTGTCTAGCCATACAACACACCAGTCCCTTCAACGTTTCATTATTTCATTATTTCTTCATTTTCAAATGTAACTACAACCATGAAAGTTACGCGAGTCAATATATACTTTTTTTTTACCCTGAGTGTATGTTAAAAGGAAAAAGATCAATCATACTTTTAAAACAAATTAATAGAGTTTAAATGAAATAAAATAGATCAAATCAAATTATGTTTTATTACTTTTTTTAAAAGCCGACGGGCTTGGTATTTATGTTTCTGTTTAATATATATGTACATGTACATGTGCATGTATTATGCAAGTAGAATGTAAAATAAAAAAAAACGTACAGAATGTTACGGCACGTGCAACGTTTTTCCTTCGGTCAGTTTATTGATTTATCGAGTCCATCGATTAAAACAAAATATTCATGATAGAATTTCAATGAAATGAATTGCTTCTGGATTATTTTTTTTCCAGTTTCAATATGTCGTTTCTGTGAACAGATAATATACTGTAGCCGATTTATCAGTTTATTGTCCAGTTGTGGACTTTGACTAATTCTACGATCAAGTTTCTGAAAAACACCGAAATAGTGACAGCCACAGACACTATTTAAGGTCCTCCGTTTAAATAGGACGATTAAAGACAAAAATATCTACCGAAACAAGATCATCGTCGCAAGCCACGGGTTTTGTGTCCATTCTATTTCCACAAACCCGTGGCTGCCTCCTACCAAATTCTCTCGTTCTTGCGACTGAATCATTGAATATTTATTAAGTGACGCCAGATTTACCCTGACCAATGAAATCACTCTGTAGCAATTTTTGGTACGCTTAAATGGCGGCGCCCATAATGAAATCATTTTTTGGTATGCGTGGCAGATTTATTGAAAAAAAAATACGATAGATCCTGAAGAACAGATGTGAGTAACGTATATTCTAAAATACTCACAAGGTTTTACATTAAAATACAGGGTTTCGAATGTAGACGTTGTGTGAGAACGCTGAATAGCGTTACTCGTTAAGAAAGGAAATTCGAACCGAAGTTGATGTACAGCTCGTGGTTATGGTTACATCCAAATACAAGATAGACTGATCATTTTCATTGGTTCTGACTTGAAGCGTCAGATGTTATTCCATTGGTTGAATGTATGTTATTAATATTCATGAGAACGAGAGAAATTTGAAGGAGGCAGCCACGGGTTTGTGGAAATAGAATGGACACAAAACCCGTGGCTTGCGACGATGAAACAAGATATAATAACATATTTTGGTGACATGTGGTAGGTACATGTATATGATATTTTAGGCCCGATATCCAAGAGGGGTCCAGTGTTAACAAATGGAAGTGACTTACCTTCTCTATTTCATAATACCGCGGGTATGATTTTTTAATAAAACGTTAATTCTACGTTATTTTTATGGATTTTTCATATGGAATACATTGTAAATGTGTATTAGAAGATTAATTTATGGAAAAAGACGAATAAAAATATTCTTGGACCTCGGGGTGTATATTGGGGGGGGAGGGGGGGGGGGGTTCCTGTCCACAAGCACCTGTGCAGCATTCAAGCTTAAAAGACCATTCAAACAATACAAATCAGGAACAGTGCAAATCTTTTGAAATCAGAGGTAGAATCAAGTGCCATGTTGTAAATTTTGAACTTACCGGTTGTCAGTATTTACTGCCACCCGGTAAATTAAAAAAAAATCATAGCATGAGAGATCCTTTTCACGCTAGCACTTACCCCGACACGAGACCTTATACGGTGTCATCTAAAGGACCGATCTCCACGTTTTACTACTTATCCAAACTGGGCATAAAACATTCTCAATGAATTTTTTAATCATTATGTTGAACCTAACAAATTATTCCGACTCGCTGTATGATCTGAAAAAACATGGCTTAACTTATCCATTCAGAAACTCACAGACTGGGATTGCTTTTAACCAGTGTGTGTTATTGCCTTGATGCAAGGTCATTTGGTCGAGTCAAGGTCACTGACAGAGAAACTGTAATTTCGCTACCGTATTTGTACTAGTGAAACATTGCTGGTATCATGCAGAGTGTGACATGGCCTTGACTCAAGTTCAAGGTCACTAAGGATAAGATGTTTTGACTGTATGTATGGACTAAAAGAACATGACGTGTCACTGTGAACTTTTCAAGTCGGTAACACACAGATTGGGTTTTATGACGAGAGTGTGTCATGGTTTGACGCAAGGCATTTGGAATGTTCAAGATCACGTACATTCCTTTACAGTTTTTCCTAGCGAAATATTGTAAGTTGCTTCCCCTTACAAGATTGCTTACATGTATAACTTTAGAATGTGGCATGACCTTGACTCAAGGTCACTTCTTCCTTCCGCAGCTCCAACGGAAGACCTATTCGTTGCTTTGCAACGAGCTCGCTCTAGTTGACATTCTTTTTAATCAGATACAGAAGGCAATCCTTGAATATATGCTATCTATATATGCTTACTTAATTATTATCCTGATACAGTTCTACCAAGTATGACAAGTGAAAAATTTCTTATGTATGATCCTGCAAACTATGTGTGTTTGTGATGGGATGGGGTGGGGGACAAATTGATTCCCATTTATAAACAGGGTTTTTATCCCTTTCCATTTTACAATATATATTACTATGGATTTTATTATTTTGAGTATTTCAATTTTTTATGCTAACATATTTTCCTGGCATAATCATGATAATATATTGTAAGTCTTGAGATATATAAATGAAATGAAATGAAATTACACTTATTTGGTACTTGCAAGTGCAATAGACTTTGGAAAATATTTGCTGATTGTTAATAGGTTGAATGGTGAAGTGACGTACATCTCTTATTCAGATTTGCTTGGTTTCTGGGTTAAAATAATTTTAGAATACACTAATGATGCTTTTCAGATTTGGGATATAAAGGGAATATAGCATCTAAAAGCTTGTTTGTTTTTTTTTAAGGATGATTGATTGTTTGCATGCAAAGAATTCTAATTTAAGTTGTTAAAATATCATGAAATACCATATACATTAATTTTCAAGTTATGGGAGGAATAATTTTGTTATTGCATGTGTACTGGCTGCAAAATCAGATTTTCATGGGGTCAAATTTTCATGGTAAGTGGAAAAAATTATTTGTTGGTGAGGATTTGATTTCATGGTTGAAGATATATAATGGAATTTTAACATTTCATGGAGGACATGAATTAATGTATCTCTTTATACCACAAAGCAACAAAACAAAAATTAAACCCCCATGAAAATGAGTGATTTTACAGTACTTGGGCCAAATGATAATTATGAGGAAACAAAATTAAATATTATACAGCTTATATGGCACATTTATGTGTCACAATTTCATTCTTGGTGATCATTGGCAGAATAAACATTGATATGCTATTAAGTTAGGACATTTTTACACAAAATTTGGACTTTCTAGTGATGCTGACAAATAAGATGCCATCATCATTGAATGAATGACAGGAACTTTCTATGCATCAAATATAATCTCTGAAATGTACTTGATGCTTCTAATGTGAAAACATTCTCTAGAAAATATTAAATACATGTACTTTCATAAGTATTTGATAGGTTGATGTTACCTTCTTTTTTATAGTTTTTTTTAAAAATTAATTTGTACCCTTGGCTCACATGGACACTACTTAAGATACGCCATTCAGGGTTTGACACTAAGGCACGTCCGACTGACCCAGTCTAGTAAAAGAGAGGTCCGGTCGTGTCAAAAGTTCGTGAACTAGACCGACTGGTCATGTGGATGAAATAAATGTTAACCCTCATTGCAGTCTTCCAAATAAATGTTATAAAAACTTTTTAAAGAAATTTTCTTAATTTTACGATTGTAAACACAGCCATCGATCTGAAAAAGAAAACTTCCCCGCATGGCACAATCGCTGTTTTTAGCCCGACTGTAATAGACAACTCGCGATCGAAACTAGCCAAGTTATCGAATAATATATTCTCTAATTTATTTATATTTACGGTAATATTTTTAAAAATTTCCTTGAATGTTCTTTAAAGCCTATGATATTCGCATGTTTCGCATAACCCGACTCAATGGGCTGCGACCTATGGAAAGTGTAATCTTAACACGTGCTAGAGATAGTATGGTTTCGAACTTTTTTCATTAAAATACCAGGTTATAAAAAGAAAATTTCTGTAAACCATGTAAAGTATTGAATTAATTGTGATGCAGTATTTCTTCAGAGCAGAATTATCTTCTCGTCACGACAAACTGAAGACATCTTTCTACTCATCAACTATAAAAATTCTCTAATTATTGGAGGAACAAGTTAATTCTCTTGTCTTCAATCATCTTTATAAAAAAATTCAATATTTGACATAATACAATTTTTAAGACCAAAAAAGTAAATTACTTCTATGATCTGACATTTCTAAAGGAATTTACACTATGTAGATTTGACACATGGAACAAAATGATTTGTAGGACAAAATCATCCAAATTAAGTTTAGAATTTCATGAGGTCACATCAACAATTGAGTTGGTTTCAGACGATGCTGTATGTCTGAATTCTATCTCCCTCTCTTTGATTTTCATTCATCAAAATAATATGTGTAAATTTGGGTAAATTTCCACATTTCAAAAATGTACAATTTTTTTTTCAGAAACGACAAAAAGATGACCAGAAACCTTTGGAAGAGAAAATTAAAACACTGAAAAAACGCAATGCGGAACTTGCAGCCATTGCTAGACGTCTCGAAGAGAAAGCGAAGCATCTCCAGCAAGAAAACATGAAGGTACAACATGGCTACCTGGCTTCCATTTAAAATATTCAAGTAGCAAAAAAAAAAAGGCTATACAATTTATCAACACAAATGAAAATAACAAGTATTCCTTGTTTTGCTTTTAGAAGGTAAAAGAAGAGATGAGTCCACCAGAATCTGACCATATGAAGAAACTGTTTGCAAGGCAGAGGGCAAAAGATCTCGCAGACCATGCCAAAGCCATGCTAGCAAAGGATCGCGAGATTGAGGAACTACGCAAAAAATGTCAGGAATTGGCAGATACACTCAGCAATGCCGACTTTCTTGGTCCAGAGGTAAATGTTGGCTATATAGTCTCTCACTTATATAAACTTATACTGGAAAACAGTCGTTCCATTGAAATGTTTTTCCCACCTTCTGTTCGAAAACATTTTAAGAAAACATTTAAAGAAGTCGGATTAAAGACTGAATTTTTTTGGTATTCATAATAATTCCATCAGTTTTTAAATATTCTTTAATAAATAGAATATATTGCAATAAATTAGGGCAAAATCATCTATTTTGATAAGAATTCCAGGGCAAAATCATCTATTTTGATAAGAATTCCAGGACTGAAAATACTTGTATCTATATATAGATATACCCTTTCCTGCAAGCTCATAGGGAAGAAAATGCTTATAAACTACAATTATGCAAAGGAAGGAATTACACCAAGTGCAAAATTTTACATCCTAAAAAAAAATTTTTAAAGAAATTTCTCCACTTGTAATTTAAACAGTTTTTATGGTTATAAATTAATCTGGAGGACTTGATGAAAAACCATTCAGGTTAGTTTAAATATTTTTTAGTGTACATAGTCTCTCTACTTGAGGTGTGATACTCATTGGACTTCAGGTGCATAATTCAAGGCTTGTAAACTAAATATTGCACATTTCAAATCTGATTTGATTAAGAAACCTAAATTTACACAGTGTTTTTTTTTTTAAAGAAATTAAAGTATAAAAATATGAATTAGCTCCATAATTTGGCAAATTGAAGATTACAGTTTGTGTAAGATAAATAAATATAACAAAATTGAAATAGACATATGCATACTGTGGTTTCATCATTAATCATTGAACACCAATATATTGTAGATTTTGTTGTTGAGTCAATCCATAAAATTAATAATTGATTTTTTTTTTTTAAACTCGAACAAACTTATGGTCGAACACTGATTATCACCTGCTTTATGCAAAACAAATTATCTATCGTAAAATAAAAATTCCGGTAGAAAATTCACAATTACTCTATTAACAACAGGCCTAAATTATAAAAATTATTACCACAATTTAATGTTAAATTGAATTTTATTAACTTTTTTTTTAACAAAATGATATTCTTTCCAGAGCCTTAGTGTAAAAATGCATAATGGCCAAAAATAGAGATTTTGACCCCCTGCACTGAGCCCCAGGGAAGGATATCATAATATATTTGGAATGGATCATTAGAGGAAGTTGTTTTCTATTAGTTGTTAAAATTACAAATCTTTGCCTTTATTCCATCAAATTTTATAGATGCTCAGATGCACAACAGACAGGGTTTTCTGAATTTCCCTCCCATTCAGATTTTGGCTGATATAGGTTCCGCTCAATAGGCAGTTACACAATCTAAGTATCAAACTCGATACAAGATGACAAAGAAAAAGGAAGGAGGAAAAGAGAGAAAAATTACACCCTAATACAGTGTAAAAGAAAAAAAAGAAGTCTTTCACATGTACTTCTTTGTGTGACCCTGCCAGGACCTTAAGACACTGTAGGACCCATGCTCATTCTGTGGCATAGTAAACATATTTTCTATAGTGGTTTATATTTTTGTGATTTTTTTTTTTTGACCACTCCTCTTCAGATGAACATTCTTTAAAATCTCTGGCCATCAAAAAAATATATGTATGTTATGAAAGTCCTTAGCTAGCTACCATTTTAAAGCCCTTGACAATAGGGGCTTGTTTCTCATCCATTTTGGCACTCGTATTCAGCGAGCATGGGTAGGTTTGATGATGGATGTTCAGAAATCTACAACTAAGGGAGTCTGCAGGGTGTATTTTTTTTCCAGTACAGTTAATATTAATCACATTGGAGAAATGAAAGTACATTTACTTAATTGTTTTTAACTATATTTATTTTGATATCCGATATTTAAGCGGCTTCAGAGTTACAGTGGGGCTGGTATGGAATTCCTCAGCCTTATTATTACCATGTTGTAAACATGTGAAGATTCTGACATTTTATCAATTTGTATGAATTAAATGATATAAAATTGAAGAGTAATCTCTTTATTGCTTTTAACTATTTATGTACTGTTAATGTGAAGGTTCCAGCTTAAGTATATATACAGAGAGAAAGAATGAAGTTTAACAAAAAGACCAGAAAATTTGATTTCTATGACCATTCTGATCAATTTATAAATCCTTAAAACTGTGAATTTTGCCCATGCATGAATATCATTGAAACCACAGTATTTTTCAATCACTGAGTCCCATTACGACAGCAAGCAACTACAAAGTTTCTTAATGATTTTTTGTTGTTGTTATTTTATCATGAACAATATATTAAAAACTGTGTGGAAAAAATCCTTGATAGAATCGTACTGAGGAGTGCCTTCCATAAGATTTAATAAAAAATTACTTTAAAAATAAAGAGAGAAATATAATTGTAGGATAGGTTCAGTGGTATACAACACTGTTTTGATAAGTCTTTGGCATCTTATCTATTATACATTGAAGGACTGAAATGTCATGTTGTTTGTCAATGATACTCTTTATCAAATTATCATCTAGTGATAAACACAGTCTGCAGTCACATCCTCACCTGAGTCGTTACATAATCCAAACTCACGCAAACACACATGTAAATTAAATCAACCCACAGCACGAGATTCGTCCAAAAGATGTATCGACAGATTGAGAAAAAGTTGTACCTGTTTATATGTATATATATGTAAAAATGGAAGAAATTCTATATATACCTGTGAGATTTAATAGCCTGTCATTAGCAGGAGGGTTGGCTGCATAGGTTCATCATGTCTGTTGCAAGGATCGAGTGTGAACAAATGATCTGTACCAGTTTTACGGGGATTTTATGATGTTGAATTGTGATTTCTGTCAACAGAATGTACAAATGTATGAAGAAAAGGAGGAACTAGTGACCATTATCAAGCAGGCAGCCAAAGAGAGGCTACAGATGGAAAAACAACTGGCCAAGATTAGACCAAATGTGGTAAGTTTCAGTTGAAAAGTTTTTCAAATCTTAATTGTCAGTGGGTTTATTACGATTAACTTGGGATATTAACAGGCAGAATTTTGTCAATAAAACATTTTTCAGCTTGCTTTTATCATTTCCCTATAGGGTAGAAAGATTGTAATTGTAATGCAGTGGTATCTTAGTTGCTATTAGGCCAGAGTTTTTTTATTTTCTGTTTAACGGGAATTTTTAAGAAAAAGTCGGGTCGAGGGGACGAAATAAAATAAAAATAAAAAGCTCAAAATTTGTCGAGTCGAGACCATAAAAAAAATAAAACCCAAAAATGGTATGAATTTTTTTTTTTTATAGAATGTTGAAAAATGAAAGAAAACACAATAAAATTTTGTTTATCATTTATTTGGATTTCAAATATGGATAAAAAGATACACCTCCTAACTATATGCATGTGTCATCCTACTGTGGTTAATTACACTTGTAAATTCTAGTATGAAAGCAAAACAATAAAATTTACAGTTTAAATTATTATATAGCAACAATAATGTTGGATACACGGATAACAGAAAAATCCACACTGCTTAAAAATTTATAGATATCTTCTTTTGGTCATCTCCTACTGTATAAAATTTATAAAAGTAATGATAAGAAATGTTTTAAGCTACATATATTTTTGATTAAACAGAAGTTTGGAGAAAAATATGGGGTTGATAGCTAACTTGACAATGCATTCCTAGTATAGGACTAACACATTCTTGAGGTTCAGAATGGAAATTTGTCAGCTGAAATTATTTGACGAACAACAGCAGTCATCTTGGAAGTCTTCTGAACTCTTCACAAATGGTTGGGTCTCCACCAAGAAATCAAACTGCACAAAAAATGCATTGTTCCTTTAAGATACTTTATTAATATAACCAAATACAAGTAGTAGTTAGAAAGTAGAAGATAAAAAACAGTATTTATGTGAGATTATTTTCTTTTCTAAATGAAGATACAAAACATTTTTTAAGAGTTTTTGATAATAACACATTTCTTATATTATAAATATAATAATTTTGTTCTTTGTTCAATTTGCATTTAAAATATTAAATTGGACATTTTGTTGACTTAATTCTTTCTATCTCTACCTTTCCACAGGGTAATGTGTGCAACTCCAATTAGCTGTCACTTGTCAGTGTTAGTTTTAAATATTCTTTTCCAATCATAATTTTGTTGGAATCCTGATCTCATTTAATTCAACCAAGCAGACATGGACTTGTATCTAAAATATTTTAATCGTAATTTTATGTCCCTGATATAGTTAAACATAATTCATTGTAAAATTAAATTTTACCGCGAATTTTACCTCAATTTGTTATGTGATCAAATTAAATATACAATGTAAACATCTTTAAAAGAAACAAAAAACGTATCAAAAAATGTTAACCATCAAACAATTGTAACAGAAAGTTTATTAAGACGTCAAAAAACTTACCCCCAACTCTTTAGACACAAGTTCAACAGTTCACCAACTGTTCACATGGTTCAGTGTGCATCTAGTGTATTTAGGTTGTTGATGCCTTCATTCTGATTTCAGGATCTTTTTTCTCTTTATCGTCAATGGATTTAATATTACTATCTCGTCATTTTTATCTATAAATGTCTCGAAATGGCATTTTTGCTTGTTGATCTGTTGATAGAACCCGCGAAAAGAGCGTTAAACTAGTTCTTTAAACTGGTTATGATATCATAATCAGCAAGACGCTAGTACAAGAATTTGATTAACACAAGCTATGTCAAACGTTTACATGATTTATTAAAATATGGTGTACAACAAACCCGATTTTATTTCAAACCATCAATAAATGACACAGTCGGCGGGTATTTTAAAAATAAAAGTGAGATTGACCTCTTTTATTTTTTTTCGGTATTTTGAAAAAATTGGGTCGGCGCTTCCCGTTAAACAGAAAATAAAAAAACTCAGGCCTTAACACTGACATTTTAACCTTATCAATTAAGTATTTCTAATGTTTTGCCAAGAACATACCATATACATGGAATTTTAGCGAGATGTAAATTTAGTGATTTAATTGTTCTTAAAAATTGATATATAAGTTTTGCTACAGGTAATTTTAGCGATTATTATACTTCCTTGAAAAATAGTCTTACCTCCTACTCAGAATGAATTATTAATGATATTCAATTTTAGTGATCTCAACACACTTGCTAATTATTCCTATAGAATCCTCACTAAAATTCTCCTTATTTGGTATGGTAGAATTTAATTTGATATATGTCATCAAATTTTTTGAACTTTTTTTTTTTTTATAAGAAACTATTTGATTTCTGCAGGTTGTTTGATGTATGTAGTTTATGCTACGTTAACAATTTATTGGCAGTAAAGTAAATAGATAAAGGACAGATTCAGTACAAAAAATGTCCTCCCCTTTGAATAATAAATTTGCAAGACTGTTTTTCAAACCAAATTAAGAAATACTGTATAGGATTTTGATGAATGGTTTTCCATGAAAATCAGACAATGAAAAAAAGTCACACCACAGTGATTTAAGAATTGGTCATATGCATTTAGCTAGAAGCTATAGGGGCTTTCATAGTACAAGAGCATAGTTCTTCATTCCAGTTTTAGGTCTAAATTTGTTTTTCTTGTCTGCTTCGTAAGATTAGGGCAGATTTAGTTCTGAATCAATGGCCTGTCCTAAATAAAGTAATGAATACAAATGACAGTGAGGGGATATTGCATGCCGTTAAGTTAAAGCTCAATGATGGACTGGAGAGACTCTTCTCTTCTCATCCCTTTTCCTTGTCAAGATAATTGCGATTGCAACCATTAAAATTATTCTATCATTATTACTTGGTCTTCACCAGAATATTCTTAAATCAACCCAAAAAAAAAAAAAAAAAAAAAAAATTCTAGAAGAGGAAAGCAAAAGCTAATCATTAATTAGTTCAAGGAGCTTGGACCTAGCAGAATTAACACAATGAAATTAAAAAATAGAGATTTGCAATTATGAATATTTTTAAATCTGAAAGACAATGTAAGATTTTGGCCTTTGGGACATGTAATGCTGCTGTTTCTTAAATTTGGAGATAGCTAGGTCATCCAAAATATAAGAAATGATAATATTTCTATTTTTTAAATCTATTCTGTGGATGATGAAATAATCAGTATGTGGAATCAAAAAGTTCCTGTTAGCAATAAGCATGTGTTCATATAGTTTCTCATCGTCGGAAACCCACGGCCAATCTCACATACACTTATCATTAAGCGTATGCGAGATTGGCCAATCTCCGTGGGTTTCTAACGAGGATAGTTTCTGTTATTGAGACTATGGTATCTAATGCCCTGTTCACACAGAGAGTTTAATTGGAATTAAACGTAAGTTACTTCGAATTAAATTTGGTCTGCGTTCACACGGAGAATTTAATGCAAATTAGTTTAATTCGAATTAGTTTACTGCGCATTAAATTACTTCGCATTAGCTCTGTGTGAACGCTAAGCAAAGCTAATTCAAATTAAATTTTGACGCATGCGTAAGAGCAGAATTAAGTCACAGGCCACATAACGATGGTCAAATATAGGTACTTGTGCTATTTTTGAGTTGAAAACAAAGGAAAATTATGTTAATCACTAAAATATGTACAGACACTATGACATTATGTCAATCATATCTGCTCTGCACAATATGACGTGCTTTGTAATGACATCATAATAGCCTCACTGAATAGCCTTGTTGTAGAAATAAAATTATAATTCACATTAGTTTACTTTGCATTAGCTGTCGTGTGAACGCAATTTAATTCGCATTAGTTTAATTCGCATCCTTTTACTTCGCATTAATTTACTGCAAATTAAAATCTCCATGTGAACAGGACATAAGTTGGTAAAGAATGAAGAATTATTGGTGTATCAATTTTGAACAAAAGTAGAAATGCATACAGGTAGTGACCCATATTTTTTTGACATATTGTAGATCTACTAAAGTGAACTTTTATATGTATTTGTTTATTGTTCAAATATCAGAGCTAAAAATCACTAATGTGTAAATTAAGTGAAGGAATAAAAATATCAAGTCAAAGAATTTGTTATACCAACCCTCCATCATTATAACGTTTATAATTAGCATGGAAATCAGTAGTTAAGCCTTACTACTAAAAGGAGTCTAAAAGAAGTCATAATCAATAAGTATGACCAGCATAAGGGAGAGTCGGGTCACTTTGGTGACAGTATTTTGTCACATAGGTGCTAAATCTCTCCATTCTTTCCGTTCAGGCTAAAAGTTCTTAGGAAGACATGGCAGAGGTAATTAATTTTGTTGAATTAAACAAATTCCTGTGGGAAATATTAGTGGGAACCAGATTTGTTCAAGAAACCAAAATGTTACTTGGTTATCAATAAACTCAGGAAATAAACCCTGAAAGGGAAAATTTTAAATTAATATGAAAATAAGAGGATGGTTTTATGTATGGATGTAATTTGTTATAATTCCAGAGTCGCTTCTCATTGGTAAGTAGGACCACCATTAATGCCTTTGCGGGGCACTTTGACTTGATCTGTCTGTGTGATCTTGTGTTGTGCACTTTGCCATTTTTATTTCCATTGCTTCCATTGCAGAGGTTCAGGGGCTTGTCTCTGTCATTTTATGTTGCCATGTTTTATTAATTCTATAGAAGTCTATAGTTTTATCATGACTACATTTATTCAATTTTTGGAAGTTATGTTTTCTGAAATCTTGATGCTTTGTGTATGCTGCTGAGGTCAAGCAATTAAAAAAAAAAATCAGTCCTGCAATTTATAGGTGTTTGGCAATAATAGGACACAAAGACATTCTTGCATTGATCTGAAAATACTAAAATTAGATGTGCAAACTTGGGTATATTAAACCTTTTTTTATCCAAATTCTTTTCAAAAATAAAATAGCTTTTGCAACTTTATTAGTCTGTACTATTCCTCTGTCTAGAGCTGTTTGACTGTCTGTCTGTCCATCTGTTTTCAAATGCTACTTCAAGTACATTTTGTGTGTTTTCCCAATGACCTTTGACTTTACTATTTATTGTGTCTAAAACTTATTTTTGAAGAAGTTTTCAAGATGTTTTCATCAAACTTCATACACTAATACAAATTTTCATGTTGCTTCACCAATGAACCCTGGGCAGGGCATTCATGTCCTATTGACATATTTCTTTTTTTTTAAATTATGGTGCTATAAATCACTTGGTTAAAAATCTGCCATGCTTTATTCATATGGCTATCAATATTGAAAAAAGAATGAAAGCCTGAAGTACATATTGCACAAAAATAAGCTGCATGTGCACAATTGTTTTTTTTTTCATAGATTAACATTTTCATCCTTTTTTATGTGCTTTTTTCCTGTTGAAATCTGATAGGGTTTACCTCTGCATGGACCACTTCTTTTGATTTTACCTCATGTGTTCATATTACCATGAATGAAATTATTACTATATCTTACGTTTTGTCACCGCTGTAGCCAGTAAGAAATCAAAGATGAGTCAGAAGTGTTTCATATCTTTTAGAATTCCCATTGGGAAAAAAAATTATATCAGTTTCAAACCTTGTTACATCTGTAATCATAGCACTTCATTATTTAAGACAATATCTAAATTAGCACTACATTTTTTAAGACTAGATCTAAATTTTAAAAATTCTTGCATTCATATTTTAACTGAATAGCTATCATTCGGCTCGAATTGGTTTACATATTTGCATTTTCTTAACGTCTTTGATATTTATTTTCACCATTCTAAGTTTTTCATTTACTTTGTCATAAGTTAAAATATTAATTTCTATCTTAAATTTTATTGGTGCTGTCTATGAACTTTTATATGTACTGGACACTATTAAGAGTAAAATCACCCAGTCACATGACTTCATTGTCAAGAGGTGATGTAATCGAGTGACAGGTGTATCGATTCTTAATGAGATTTATTACAATGATGTTTCAGATGTGACAGTTAGATCTACTCGTGCTCCTCTTAAATACAATATCCTAGATATACTCTCCAATAACAACACATGAACTCTAAATTATCAATTTTCAAGGGTTTTCATAGTAAAGGAGAATTTCCTTTCACTCTACATAAATCCTTCTGCTGTAGAAGACATTGTATTGGACAGGAAGTTAATAATTTTATGAATTGCTATTGATATCATATGCTTAGTGGACATTATTTTCCAGCATTAATTGAACATGGATGACACCTACGTTATTTGTATTTCTCAATGTGTCTAAGTGTGGCTTGGCTTTTCATGACAGGTATGTTGTGATGACCCAATGCTGGAAAAGTGTTACTGGTCAATATAGATCAATTCTGCATAGAAATGAGTTTAAAGAATTTTCCAGCTATTAGAAGATTCTGCATGAATATGGGGAGGTGATAAAGGAGTGAGTCGTGATTTGGTGTGGAATTGGAGGATATATTAGCCTTTGCAGTCTGATCTTGTGGGAAAATATTGATCAGAGGTTCTTTTTTTCTTCTGAAATACTAGCGAGTGTGAAGGACAGATATTGTGAGCTAGCATACGGAACAATTCTGTTTTTATGATTTATTGAACATATAAGCAGAGACCATTTGGACGTGGTGGACAGTATAGAGTCAATCTGCATCAATTTTCCATCCTGCCCCTAGGCCTCGGATTTCCACTGCAGTGAATTGTTCGACAAATGAGATATCAGATGGCTTTTTGTGATTCAGGAGAACCTAGGGGTAGATGTTGTCTGTTGCTGAAGATTAATACATTGGCTTTAGAGTTATATATCCATTAGTTTGAAGATCATACAGGATATATAGGGACGTAACAAGATTTCAGTTTCTACTGCTGGTTTTTTTTTCTTCCTGAAAAATCAAAGACTTGAGCAGTGTCATTTGTGGGGATTTGCAAGCTCGGGTTAAGGTATTTTCGTGAGACCTAGTCGTTTTTTATGTGTTAGTTAATTGATGGTTTATTGGATTCAGGAAAGTCATGCAATTTCTTTATTCTTTGTAAAATTAAAGATGGCTCAATGTTATAGAACAATATGCAGTGTGATGACAAAAAATATGGATTTACTGTAAATTTAAAAAAAAGAAATATTCATGGGGGCTTAATTTAATTTAAGTTTGTTTATTTCATTAATAACATTATACATGTATAAACAAAATAATAAATCCCTGACAAAAATTTTATTTTATATTTCAATATGGTTATTTTGAAATCATGAAATTAAGTCCCCATGAAATCATTTTAGATCACAGATCAAGATTTTATTCCCAGGAGACTTTCCACTTAATGGGCAGTATATGACAAAATTTGTTAGAGAAAAAGTTGAAAGAGAATTATTGAATTGTAGCTGTATCATAAGGAAGGGCCTCATTCCACTGCAGTACAAAGAAGCAATTAATTACTTGATTGTTTTGTTGTGCATTGTTAATGCTGCATAATTTTAATGTATTAAACCCACATGAGTTTGCTTTCATTCTTACTCAGAAAATTTTACATTGTAGTTCAAAATAGAGAGCATATTTTAAATTTAATGCGATACATGTGTGCACTTTGAAGAGAAACACTTAAAATTTTGTTGTTTTACAGGAAAGCAAAAAAATAAAATCCTTCAACATGGAACATTAAAACAAGTATTGTGTAGTGCTTAGTGTAAATTTGATACATGTACAATGAATTCAGATAAAATTGGTGTACAGTAAGGATTTTATGTTGATAAAAAAAAAAAAGATTCTCCCTTTGTATTTGTGTGCTTGTTGACACTATGAATGGTATATATGTATATACTTTAAGAATTTTTGAGTTGGTGACAATTCTAAAGTCTCATCTTGCTTCTCTGCAAATGATGTCTAATGGAAAACCCATATTTATATATTTTTTTTAAAAAATGAAATTGAAGGGGGGGTGTTTGGAAAGTTTATTACAGACTTAATATTTGAAATGTTTTGGACCCATGGTTCTTTTTGTCGCCATTATCAGCCTATATGCAGTTATCACCACTGACCAGCTTGCTTAACTAGTACATGTACTATTTCTCCAACCAAATTGATTCATAGTAGTAGATCTATACAAACTTCAGAAGTCTTAATAATAAATGTTATCATACTTTAAATTAATCAATAAAATCATAGTCCATACTGATGAAAACAACCTAACTACATAGGATGGTACAGTTCTGCCTATACATGTAGGTGTTACTGGGTGGGAAGAAAATTGTTATTTCTCTAGCAAACACAAATATCTAGTTACCGATACATTAATTTAGAGATACTTGATAGTGTGGAGACTGATTGCTGTATTGTGACGCAGGTTGAGGGGCTCATCATTTCTAGAAAGAGAATCTTGTCAGTAAAATATTTTACTTAGAAAGTACATGTAATCTGTTGCTAGAGATTTATTTAGTGTGCAAGATAGCATGAGATTTCCGAGGACAAGTTACTGTTTCAAAGCTCTATAGCTTTATAAAACACTTGCAGTTTATACCTTAAGGTATGTCACTCGTGAAATTTGTTATATCAAGGATTTTTTGAGAAGTATATTTTGGATAAGTACTCATATAGTATGACTCAAAATCGCAGAGAAAACAGGGGGTCAGTGTGCATCTGACTGAGCTACGGTACAATTAAGTTGACCTTTTTGCACTTAAATTTTAACTCTTTGGTTAATCACTTTAACCCTTATCATATTTTATCAGATGTAACCATGGCAATAAATATAATCTTATTTTACGTAAAATAGTTTGAATAATATTTATCATTGAACAAATCTTGCAAATTAATGCGCGTAAATTATTGTGTGACCTTTTTGCACTAAAAAAGTAACATATTTGGGGTATTAAAAATCTAAATGGGCAATAAAATATTTTCTTGTATCAAACTTTTTACGACTTGAGTGCTGATCAGTCACAAGTATCGAGTAATTTTAAATAATGAAAGAAAAAGCTGGGGTCAGTGATGTAAATTTTGAAATATTGGTCAAAATATGCGATTTTCAGGTCAAAAACTGTTTAAATTTTATCTTGACTTCTTTAATATATCTTCATTTCTCGGCAAAGTTTGTTGAGGGAAGGTGTAAAATTTGCTATAAGAATATAAATTAAGACCTATATTTAATATTCCTAGCATATCATAACGGAAAATATTCTCTGAGTAAAAGTATGTGAGGCTAAAAATCCAAGATATTAAATTTAATAAATGTGCTGGTTTGCAGAATTTTCTGCTAAATATCCTTCCACCACAAGAAATAGTCCCTCATAAATTTTGCTTCTTCATGAATTTTTTAGCAGTTTTTTTATTGAATGTTGAACAATTTACATTGTTTCATTTAAATATGTTATGAAAATGGAATTTTAATAAATAGTTTTGAAGTAAGAGGTTCTGCCTGAACTTTTCTAAAAAGCTGACGAGTGACATACCTTAATTGGTACATTCCTATTGTGGGTTTTGGTGTTATTTGGTGTGGAATGCATTTTGGTCAATTTGCAACCTCCTAGCGGTGAAAAATGTAGTTTTTTCTGGGTACTAACTACTGTAGCCAAACTTCATGTGCAAGCAGTAAGTATCTGTGAGAATTGCAAGCCACTTCACTTGCAGATATTTATGGTTGTGAAAATTTATTGCTTTAGAATGTTTATGAAACAGGAAATGGTCGTTGCAAATATTATTTTTCATGGACAACAATTAGCAAATAAAAAATACTGATTATAAATAGTTGCTTTATAGTATGCTGCTTTCCATTTAGGGTGCAAACACTTAAAAGAAAATTCCACCAAGTGTCATTCAGACTAAGAAAATTATTCATAGAAAATGATATGAATCTATGGTTTTGTTAAAAGACTGTCTCATTTCTTCTCTGAAGCTTATGTATAGGAAGACTTGGCCAGCTAGAGGAATAATTTTGGCAGTATATAGATATACAAATGACTAATTGTCACAATAGCGTGAACTTTCATGATGGCTTCGATCAAAATTCAGTTAAAGTGTAGGGAAGATCCCCAAAGCGCTAGCCTGCCCAAATGAAGCTGGTCAGTTCTGTGGAAAAAGTGTTAATTATATTGATGAAAGACTGAGGTTTTGCCCATCTTGTCCCAACTGCCTTATTACCACAAAGCTGTAACATGAAGATCCATTAGTTTCTTTAGACTGCTTCTATTCCAGATCAATTAGTGGGTTTATCTGGTTTGTGCATGGTCTTGAGTCATTGCGGACATGGAGAATGCATGTCCTTGAGGAGAAAGGGAATTTTCATTTTATTATAATTAGGTATACATTGAATGTAGTGTTGAATTGGAAATGAGGAGCTTTTAAAATTTGAAGATCAATTTTTGAAAAGGTGAGTTCATATCAATATTACCATTTGTAGCCTTGTATGCAATTGATTCAATCAAACGATTGGAGTTTTGGTAATTGTTCTCTTCATATAGTATTCAGTGTGTCCATTCAAAAGTTTAAAAACAAAATTTCATTTGCTACAGAACACCAGTACTCTGTTCTATGACAAAAAGCAACTTCTGAATAATTAGGAGTTCTTTGTGTTCCATAAAAGATTATGTATTGTGCAATTTACAGGTAAGATGTGATGAATTACTTTTGCAATTTTCAGTTCTTAAGTGGTTTCAAATGTTCTTATGATTGACTGAAAAAATGGACCACATTTTCAATATAGGAATAATTGGTTACTAACGAGTGAATTGCATGTTTACAAATGGCAGAAGCAATTTGCAGGAGGTGTAGAAAAGCATTGGCTTGGAGAATACGTACTGGTTCTGTGGTCGGAGACAGTTTAAATATGATAGATTACTGGATCAATATGTCTGCATGTTTACCTTTTTGAATTGATCAGGGTCCACAACTCTTGGCTTTGCCAGCTATTTTGTTTGTGACACCAATACACATTTGTTGTTTCGATCTCCATCTGCATGTACTGTATATAGTGCAGATTGGATTTGGATATGGCTACTACTAGTATAATTTTGTTTTGAAAGTGCAAAAAGGTAGGATGCATTCTTAAGAATTGATCTTTTTTCTCTAAAAAAGATTGTTTGAAACATTAAAAGAAAATTATCAGTTGAGTAAGAGTATGCTTTAAGATTAACTTTCTAAGACAGGCTAGCATAAAATATCAATAATGGAAACTTCACTCACTATTAAAGGTTTCACTAAATGTTTACTTGACTGCTTTGACTGTGGATTTTTAATGTTGTGCAAACAAAGATATTAACCCTTTTATAGCAGACTCCCCCAAAGCCTGAATTGATTTCTATGGGAAGTTGCACGGGTACGGAAGCAGAAATCAATAAACTTCGAACCCCACATGAATTTGACACTTCTTTTTTTGTATGTGTATAGACACATTAGATTTGGCATTCATAACACAATTCTAACACATTGTATTGCAATGAGACTAGCTTTCATATTTTTTTCATGACTTCCCTCCAACAAGGTAAATATATATTCTAGAGAGAGTATTTTGATGCTAGTAAGGACATGACTTATGAGAATACATCAACTTGGTGCAAATAACTGTGAAATCTCCATTGTGTTTAGTTGCAATATATCATTTCATTTCTTCCTCTTCTGCAATGGGCTTGTAATTTATTGTCTGCAAGGCCATAGTAGCTTTTATCTAATTTGGCATTAAAGGCTTTGGTATTTTCAGGAATTGATTTTGCTGAGGGTTGTTATACTTTTTTGTTGGTTTTCTTGCAGTCGGCTCAGGCAGATTTGAAGAAGTTGAAGGAGTTGGAAGCAACCAATGAGACCTTACAGAAGGAACTTGGAAAATTAGAAAAGGCCAAAGACGACACTGAAAAACTTGTGAGTGATGTCATTTTTCAAACATTACCCTTTTCTATAATTTAATTACTGTGTGAGCATTTTGTAGACATTTATACATGTATAATTATGGATTCTTTCCAGTTTTTCCAATTTTATCGTGAACATTTATTTCTTTTCATTGAATTAATGATTATTGAATTTGCCAAATGCAAGAACCTTGAAAGCAATCTTGCTAGAGTTATATCATGCACTAGGAAAAAAAATAATTTGCATATATTCACAGATTTGAAGGTGTAGTATGTTTAAAGACTTCCTCTTTGCATATTCTGTTTGTTTGTAAATGGAAATGATAAGCTTTCACCAAATATTCAAAATCCTATAATAAGCATACCTATTTCCTGAAACAACCATCAAATTTCTCTTCCTAATTATGAATGTTACATACAATATCTCCACATTGCACACAGAATGTTCTTCTCATTGTGTGTTTTACAGATGGTCTTGCCTAATGCATAGACTATATAAGAACCATAAAAGCATTTTGATTTGGCCCTTATGGATGCTTAGTCTGCTCTTGGGTATAATACAACTCTTATTTCCATTTTTCTGTGATCTCCAATAAGTAGCTGGTTATACCAGATCACACACCAGGAGTATAAATGACTTGCGAAGTTCTGCATTATGAAGACCACATACAATTTAAATAGCTTGTGCCAGCTTGCTGCAATCTATTCGACTAAGTCGAGATGAGCTTATGCTATACCTCCGGCATAGGCGTCCTGGTTAAAGTTTTAGGAGCAAGTCCATTCCCAAGTAACTATAAGCCCTACCTGGACCAAACTTGCATGGATGATGCATCTAGGGATGGACACTACCACACTTGCTTCGGATGCTGGATCTGACCTAGATTTTTTTTAAGATGAGTGACCAGGTTAAAGGTTTTGGAGCAGGTCCATTCCCAAGTAAATATTAGCCCTACCTGGACCAAACTTGCATGAATGATGCATCTTGGGATGTACACTAGCCAACCTGCTACGGATGCTGGATTCGACCTAGATTTTCCACATGAGTGAATTTTAGCCATATTTTAACCGAATTAGCATGAATGATGTAGCTAGGGATGGTCACTTCCAGACTTGCTTTGGATTTTGAATCTGACCTACATTTTCCAGATGAGTGACCAGGATAATTGTTTTTGGAGTAGCTATATAACATTATGGCCTGTTATGATTACACTTGCATAGATGGTGTATCTAGGGATGAAAACTTCCAGACTTACTTTGGATGTTGGAACTGACCAAAATTTCCTTGATTAGTAAACAGGATAAATGTTTTTTGAACAGGTCTATTTCCAAGTAACTATAAGTCATACTTAAACCAAACTTGCATGGATATTGATCTTGGGATGTACACTAACTAAAAAAAAGAATATGCGGTGAAATTTGCCCTACTTAAAGATAACATTCGTTGAGGTGAGCTTCGTAATCTTTGATTACCTATGTTTCTTTATGTGATATTTTAGATAATTAAAGTGCATACTAGACTGCATGTTAGGAGCATAGAGTGACATTTTGTTGTGTACTGTATCATAAAATACCATATGAAAAAATGCAAAGACCTCTACAAGCTTATAAGCATGCCAGTAATGCAAAAACTGATAGACTTCTTACTTTTGTCTCATTTTGATATATTTATTTTCCAGGAGATAGAACTTACTCAGAAGAAAATTGAGTGTGAGACCTTAGCAGAAGAAATCAAAAGAGAAAAGCTAAGAAATAAGGAGCTGGTCAGTATATTACAGTCAGATATTTTAAAACACACAAAATCATCAAACTTGTAATGTACATATAACACGTGTACAGTATATTTCTCTGCTTCCCTGTTACCCCCTAAAAAAGCATTATGTATGAACACTGATAAAGCAGACTCATGGATATAGCAAAGTGTTTTAGGGACCCCAGGCAAACATTTAACGACATCAGAGCTGCATGTTTATTATAACAGAAATTCCGTACTTGTCCCAGATTTTAGTGTCAAAATACAAATTACTGATTTACCTCTGGAAATTATGCTTCCAGACTATGCTCCAAATTTAATTTTCTTCTATGTCTTATATGTGTTATTAATGCTATATCAATAACAATAATTAACACAAGGACCTCAAAGATGAAAACACTAGGAAGATTATCATTAATTGATTTACATATTATACATGTTCAAAACAGAGGGAAAATGAAACATTCAAAGCTCATTCTTATCTAAGATTTATGAAATGATCATAGGAAAGTTAAACCAGGGTATTTCTAAAATGAGATTACTGACAAAAAGCTCAAATTACCATAAAAACCTTATACATTACTGAAATCTTCAGAAAGGGTTAAACACGGCTTTACAATGTCTTGTAATATTTTATGGTTGTAATGAATTCTGATATAGCAAATGCATGGATATTGAGGGTTGATGTCATTTTTCAATGAGCAGTCATCTGCTATAGAAAGAAAACATATTTTGCAAATTTGCTATACTTAAATACATTTATTATATGAAAACAACAAATTTTGAATATATAGAAATAAATTCATAGGCCCGCCAGGACTTTACTAAATTGAAGTTCTACTATATATGTATATGAAACGGTCATCAGGAGAAAGCTAAGTCACCAACAGGAAATTAAAAGTCATGAGGTGATTTCAAGTATTCATTTGCAAATTCACATTTAAGTAGAGGAGTTGGGGGGGATGTAAAGATAGGAGTACTTAGTTGATTTAGGGAAAAATGGTTGAGTTGGTTGAGCCCCATTGTATAGGGGCTTCTTGATGTCTGCAAATGTCTCTATTGAGTCTTATTGTACATACTGAAGAAAGACACATATGTTGATAAAACTTATGAATATTTTTAAAGTAAAGTTTAAAATGTTGCTTTTTAACAGGAAAGTGATTTACAAGAGAGTGCAGCACAGAATACCCAGCTTACTGTTCAAGTGTCTGACCTCCAACATAGACTTCAGGACCTGGAAAAGGTTAGTGTAAATCACACATCACAGACTATTGTGATTACATTTTGCATTGAAATCACTGCAAATTGTAATAATGCAAAATGTAATAATGCAGATTGTAATAATGTAAAATGTAATAATGATAAAATGCAATCAAAATTACTGAGTACTATTGGAATGAGAGGAAATTTTCTTTGTTCTATAAATATTTTCATAATGCTTGACCCCAAAGAGGGACTATTGCAATATACATTTTTCATCATTATTACAATGTGTGTTACTTTCTATGCTGTCCAGAAGATCTGAAAGGGTTAAATGGAGGAAACTGCAGACTAGCCCAGTTAATTTCCCTACAACAGAGGTCAGAAATGGGAAATGCACATAGATAAATATACAAAAAAGGAAAGAGCATTTTAATCATGAACATAGTAATGGAGGATCAACAAAGATAAAATTTAATGGGAACAATATCAGCAAAAACTATCTTAAACAAACCTTCATTTAGATCTTAAAAAATACTATGAAAAAATATCATGTATCCCTTCTGTATTTATATTAAGAAATTTGTACTGTCAGTACACTGTACCCCTTGATTTCATAATATCCAGGTAATGCAACACGATGCTATAAAATATTACCTTGTTGGGGTTCACAGTTTGTTTAACTGAAATAAGAGATATTATTACCAAAACAATTATTAGGTGTATGACAAAATGCTAATACCGTGGAATCATCATTGTTCATGGGGGATCAATGTTCATGGATTTCATGGTTCACCTTTACCCTTGAATTTACATCCCAATGAATGATTGCTTTCTCAGGAATCAGTTCATTGAATCGTGTGTATATACGAGTAAGCCACGAAACTGTGTCTCTAAAACCAGTAAAATTTTGGTTGCCCACGATCATTGACCCCACAAATTAAAATGATTCAACAGTAAATTCTGTTTTGTAAAGAAAAAAAATTCTCACAAATACACACATTGGTAGCTATGGAATATGCAATTTGTGTTGTATAAATCCTTATTGTGCTTTAGATATATTTTTAATCAAGTTAAATTGTTTTTTTAAAAAATGAGGGATTGAGATTTCTACAAGTTGCAGTGAAATAAACGTGATAGTTATAGGACTGGTAAAAGAGAGACAACTCCATTTGCTACATCTTTACAATCAGGAAGCTCTTGAAATGGGTATGAAAAGTAAAGGTGTTGAATTCTGTACTTCTGTAGGAAAGAAAATTGAAATAGAGCAGGTAGCTGTAACATTATCTTACCTTTCAAGAAGTGAATTCTGAAGAGGTGAAATGAAACTCCCAAGCTATAAACCCAGCACCATTTGATGGGAGGAGGAAGGGGGGTCAATTGGGAAAAAGTAATTTTTGCAAGGGGAAAGGACTGAAATTTGGACCTAACTCGGCTGTGGAAACATTACCTGGTGTTTTTGCATGTTCTTATCTACATAATGCAAGCAGTGAAAAAATTGTTAGTCGGCAAGACCACAGTGCATATGAGTGACTGCAAAACTTATGGCAATCTATAAGTATTGAGGGCAGAAGTCTTTTTTTTTTGGACTCGACTGATTTGATGAAAGCACATATCCAATTTGCTTAACAGACAGATGATGAAGTAGGTGATTGTAGGTAATTCGCTCGAGGTGTCTGGCTCATGTTAGGTTGTTCTGATCTGTGGTTTATCGAGTCTGAATAAGTGAGGATCCATTAATATTCAAGTATCATGGGAAATCTCCCAGAATTCACACTTACGCAAGGCCTTGTGGGAAATATATTTTCAGTTGAAAATCTAGTTATTAGGACAATTTTTGTCACCATTTCATTATATTCCCATAATTAATTTACAAAAAATAGAATATTTAAGTTAAAGATAACAATTTCAGTGAGTAGGAAAATTTTTGTTACCATATTTCTTCATATCCCCATAATCAGTTTTCCCATAAGTTGAAGATTGCAATTTGAGGAACTTAATATTTATTGGAAAATTACCTTAAGTTTTCATCTGGACTTATATCCAAAGAAATGCTGTGTTCTTACCATTACTAAATTAGCAAGAAGTTAATTAAAATGCCAGGAAAATTGATATATGTCATATACCATATATACTCACCTATAAGTCAGTTTTTTGGGAGTTTAATTTTGTACCAAATCTCTCTGTCCGACTTATAGGTGAGTTATAAAAAGAATGGCATTTAAGAGGGTCAGTCCCTCTAATATAAGCTTAAAAAATACAACCGACTTATATGCGAACGGACTCATAGGCGAGTGTATACGGTAAACATTTTGTATATCTGTAGTTGTGGATTGTTGAGAAAAAAAAAAACTTAAAGGACTTATTAATCACATTGCATGGATACATTCAGATATGTGTTTACCTATGATTGATTAATTTTGTTTTTGATTGGATAGGTTTGCCAGCTAGATGTTGACATTTAATGAATATTCAAATATTTCTTCCCTTATGATATAACTTATTAATTGTCTAATTCTATGGAGGCTTGCAAATCTATATCAGAAATTCATGAAATCAATAGTATGAAAGGTTGGGAGTGATAAAAATAATTTTCGGTATGTCAGAGTTGCAGCTATTGAAGGAGGCTCACTCAGTTTTTTTTATGTAAAAACTCTTTATAGCATAAGTAACATATACACTGACTTCGGTGTAAAAGGAAAGTTTTAAGAAAATTGGGGTATTTTTAGGGTCATTTCATGTACTGTAGGATTATATAAGGAATTGCTTTTTCTTTTCACTTTAAAGCAAATTATCTTAGTACTACTGTAACAATAGACTTTTTACTCAAATTGTAGTATGTGATGAGTACATAATACTAAATTGTACAGTGTAGATTATAAATCCCATCATATGAGTTTTCAAAGGGGGCATCTCAAAATGTGAAAAGGAGATGGGTGAACAATTAAGGCATGTCTATAGCTTCAGATTTATAAGAATCATGTTCAGCCTGTGAATTAAGCATTTAAAGTTCTCATTATTGAAATTTATGAAATTATGATGAACAAAACTTTTCTGAGAAAAATTTTCTTATAAAAATTATTCTGTTATTAAAAAAAAATTGTGGGGTTCGAATCCTAGCAATAAAAATCCTGAGTATCATTTTACTTCAAGACTAACACACTAACCACTACACTATGCAGCTCCTGATGAATAGTGGCATTTAGATCATGCATGTGATATATGAACCTTGATTAAATGGACTTCAAGTATTTCTGGGAAATTGATGTGAATATTGTGTCATATAAGTGTATTTTTAAGGTATAGTGGGTCTTTGCTCCATGTTTTTGTTAACAAAAAATGTATATTTTATGCATACTCTGAGGATAATCATTAAAAAAATGGAGTGAAGACCCACTCATATAAAAAAAATTGTGTTATAGTATGAGATAATGATCCTTTTTGCCCTCTTTAGTGTGTGTATGCATTTTTATAGGCAAATATTTTCAATCTTTGTGAGATTTTTGCAAATTGTGGAGATTTTACATAAAGTATACTTTAATGTTAGATGAAATATCAAAGAAAATTTTTGTATAATTGAAATTTAATTTCATCTTCAATTTAATTTTCCATCTTCATGTATGTCTCACTATAGGCATTTCGCTAACCTTGTTCGCCCATCTTCTTTATGAAATGTTTTACTTTTTTTGTGCCAATTTTTTTTTATCTTGTATCTTGATCTATTCTATGTTCACATATATGTTTCTTACTATGTTAGTTGGTATTACTGTGCTGCCCATCTTTTATTTTAATTTAATTTTTTTTGTTTCTTACGATTTCATTTGGCATATGTGCTTGTTTTTTATGATTTCAGTTGGCATAAGTGGGCTTCCCTAGTTTTTTTAAATAATTTTTTAGTTTCTTATGATTTCAATTGACATGAAAGTGCTTCAGTAGTTTTATTATAATTTTTCTGTAGCATGATCGTCATTCCACACCAGTGTTGCACTAATGATGTTGAGTGATGGTTTTCTGAATTGCTCAGTAGGGGGGCCGTTTTCCGGAGTCTGTCCCCAGAAGGACATTGATTTTTGCTTTCTCTTTTTTCTTTCAGTTGAGGTCTAATTTAATTCGACTAGAATGGTTAATCAATATCAAAGTAAATTTGGAATTGATGTGAATTTTTTGCATGTTTATTTAATATGTTCTTGTACCTGATTTGTGATGGTTAGGTATCTGTTTATAGTAATTGTAATCTAATTAGAGATGTGATCAGCTGAAATTCATGCAGCCAAAATTTATTCAAACAAGTTATAAAGGTAGAGCATCATCCAAAAAAGTATTCTCACTTGTTAATCAAAGTACTAAAAGTTCTTTAAGCCAGGCTCATTAAATTAATTAAAGGATTCAATGTCATCTCATCCAACATGAAAAACAATGAAAAAAAAATAATATGAAAAAAAAAAAAATCACATTGGAAATGGTATATCATTTATATAGTTAAGGGACCCTATGCAATGGTCCGAGTTAATCAGAGTTTTATTTGACTTGACACCAATGAAGGTAAACAAATAGATTAGCCTGGTTCCCTGTCCTTGTTTTTCTTCTTTTGTTCCCTAGATCAGACTTGGATTGAAATTGACTTTTTTTCCACAGGCTAATTTTAGCCTGTGGATATGAAATCCACTTGAAAGCTAAAATGAAAATCTACAAACTTAATTTAATGAATGAATCATTGCTTTTTCCATGCTTTGTTTTTATTAATTAATCAATTGCTTGGTAACTGTATCTCTTGTGTACAATTGGAATTGAAAATTCCTGTAACCATTTTTAACCATTTTAAGAAACGCTGAGATCATCATACACCTTAACTGTCTTTACAACATCAGTCTGCACTGTAGAGAACATTGAAAAATCTTATTGTTATCATCAGGTTTACACATTTTCTTTTAAATTTACTCTTATGACTTTTAATGCATTTGTTTGATGCCATATTTCTAAAAGAATATAAAAGAAAAGCCCTATTTAACCTCCAATTTTATAGGGCTTTTCTTTTATATTCTT